CCTTTTTTTTTTTTTTTCTTGTAATTTCCAACGCTGCAATATGGCAGGGCGAGGTGGACCAGCACGGACCAACGGCACCGCTGCTAGCAACAAGATCTGTCAGTTCAAACTAGTGCTACTGGGAGAATCGGCAGTTGGAAAGTCCAGCCTGGTGCTGCGCTTCGTCAAGGGCCAGTTTCACGAGTACCAAGAGAGCACCATCGGAGGTAAGGAGTCCAGGATTTCTGTATGTTTTCCATGCAGGTAAACATGCATTTTTGTTTAAAGCACTGTATTTGTAATCTGTAGTATCAGTGAGTTCTGATGATGTAGTAATTTATAGATACATGGCATATTCCAAATACAAATCAACATAAAAAGGCCTTCAGATTTCAGAAATTCTCACTTTTATCCTTTAAATTACAAAGCACACAATAAAGTGTGACTAAAACTGGATTAGCTAGATTATCTTGGATTGCTAAAATGATAAATGGAAAGTTAATAAATTAAACTGTAACTTTTCACAACTGCATATGGGAAAAAAACATTGAAATTCTTGTTTTTCTGTCTCAGTTTCACTGTTTTTTTTGTGCTGCATTCTTCCACCAGCTGGTGGTATACAGAAGTTATTTAAAAGTAATCTGGGCTATCTAAAAGGCGCACAAAGCTGGTAGACTTCTAATGAAATATTTCTGCACATGAAGTCATTTGGTTTGCGTCAAACATCCATGTGGGTGTTAAGGTTCTGAACTGATTGTGCACTCTTGATTTAAAACATCAGACTCCAGCCCTGAAGCAGAAGACTTGTCCATGCCAGTAGAAGTGATCTGACTTCTGGCAGGCCTTGCTCATATTTGTTGTCGGTTTAGTCAGGAGAAGGACTGGTAAAACCAGTTCTTCCAAGACCAAAGGATGACTTCAACTGGCTTCAGGCTCTTCACGCAAAGTAGGCAGACATCTTTACCAAAACTGGTCAAATTGCAGAAAGTGACGCACGTCTCTTGACTGTTTCAATGGACCTAGATTGTAGCATCAAATCAAAATGAGGGCAAATACCAGTTAAATGGAGCTTTGAATTAAAGGTGGAATGTTACGAATTGAATTGCTGAACAGAAATATGTTAATCCATCTGAAACTGGATTAACAACTGGAAACTTTCCACCTTTCTTTGTTGTATTCCACAGGTTTTTGTGGGTTTTCCACATGTTTGCCTATTTCAGAAGATACAAACATACATTTCACTGGGTAGCAGTTTTAGAAATTTGTTTTTTTTTAATGTTTATATAAATGTTCAGTATCTTCAGGGCAGTCAAGTGAACATTTAAGATTGTACATGTATGAATTAAGTCATTTCATAGTCACTTTTTCCCCAACTGTCTTCCCTGCTGTATCCGGTTCTGATGAGTCAACTTGCATAAGAATGTAGGAACAGGATACTCGCCAAAGAATGGGTGAAAATAAAACGAGTCAGCACTTTTCTTGTTTTTCTTTTTTGCTTTCTATTGAACTTGTGGTCAGCGGCATGCCTGGTCAAAGATTACAAAGCTTTAAAATGTGTACTATGCAAGAAGGAGCTAAGCTTTAGGTGTCATGTGAGAGATGGCTGATTGTGTGAGTGTGCATTTCATAAACTAACATTTCCTCCTGGTAAAGTGAGTTGCTTTCTTTTGTTTCCTTTTTTTTATTACTCTGATTTGTAGCGTTTTCAGCAGATTATGAATGTTAATAACTGATTTCATATTATTAATGTGTCCCAATTTAGTGACTTGTGTTTTTTTTTTTCTTTATCATGACACCAAGACTTATTCTGAAGAAGTCAAATATACTTTTTTTTTTTTTTTTTTTTTTTTTTTTTTTTAAACCCGTTAATTATTTTTCTAATTATCTTTTTAGCTGCCTTCCTCACACAGACGGTATGTTTGGATGATACAACAGTCAAGTTTGAGATCTGGGACACTGCAGGACAGGAACGGTATCACAGCTTGGCACCTATGTACTACAGAGGAGCCCAGGCTGCCATTGTGGTCTTTGACATCACCAACACAGTGAGTCACAACCAAAACGCTCTGGTCGACTATTTGCGTAATCGAGTCAGATTTAAGTGTGGTATCACACTATTTTGCACCTTTCTGTTGTAAAGGATACGTTCACACGTGCAAAGAACTGGGTGAAGGAGCTGCAGCGACAAGCCAGCCCCAACATCGTTATTGCACTGGCAGGAAACAAAGCCGACCTGGCCAGTAAGAGAGCCGTAGATTTCCAGGTAAGGGGAATAAATACAGAATCTGCTACAGATTAATTTTCAAGGTCAAAATTCCCTGAGCTGTTTCCTTTGGTCCTGTAGGAAGCACAAGCATATGCAGACGACAACAGCTTGCTCTTCATGGAAACTTCAGCCAAGACCGCAATGAATGTTAATGAGATTTTTATGGCTATAGGTGAGTGTTTCTCAGAAGTCCAACTATTAATTCATGAATGATTTATACAGGCTGAGAATAAATTGGTACCTCCTAGTAACACTGTAAATATGCACTTAAATAAATTTTGCTTTTGACTGAAAAAAAGTATTAGCCTTCTATCGTAGACATTTCAGTGTAAAAGTTTTCTGTTTTTTCTTTCAATATATATTTAATCTTAGTTTTAATAAATGTGATTCTACTTAAAATTTTGGTCATTTGTCACATTTTTTTTAGGTTCATTGGTAGATAATTATTGGTAGAATCCATTGTTGCAATACTTTAAGCCGGAGATTGACCAATTATCTTTATTCTCTGCAACAGCCAAGAAACTTCCGAAGAACGAGCCTCAGGGCGGAGCGGGACCAGGCGGACGGGCCAGAGGTGGCGTGGATCTGCAGGAAACCGCTCCACAGGGCAGAAGCGGCCAGTGCTGTGGGGGTGGAAACTAACTAACTCAATAAATCAGCTGATCCAGCCGATCAACAACACCAGATATTAGCCAGCTGTAAAACGACGCCCCCGTTGGTCCAACCAAACCACCAAAAGACCAACTTATCCTCTCAGCACCAACTAACTGTTTGACAAAATGAGCATACTGGCCAGTTGATTGCCAGATCCCCACTGATGGTTCCAGCTTGATGAACCTGCCAAAAATACCAAGAAATCAACCTACAGGCTTATTCACAGAATCGTGTTTTTTCACCCCTGGACTCGCCATTCCACGACCTTTCTTTTGATGGACACATGACGTCACCTTGGATTGGGGAAAAAAAAAACAAAAAAACATACCATTCATGGAAGGAAAACAAACAGAAGTCATTAACAATTTCTCCTAAGAGAGGCGTCTTGTCCACTGTTCTGTGTTTGTATAGAGGAAATCGAATTAATGGAAAAGGAAGGAAAATGTGTAGGTTTGATAACCCTGTTGTTGCACAACTTGGACTCACTTTACAAGTGCACCATAAATGTTTCCATCATGGTCTTATGTTAAAAGCAGGGTGCATATGGAGTCTTAAGGAATTGGATAAGGAGGTTTTCACCAAGAGAGAACAAATGGGCAGATTTCTTATAGAGCTGAGCTGTGTAGATTGATTATCTCTATTAGTTTTTTCTTTTTTCTTTTGGCACAGACTGGTCAGTATGATTTTGAAACCTATCTTAAGGTTTTACAATCATTTATCTATGTTATCCAAACATATACAGTAAATGCAACTTTATTAACAATTTCACCCGTATGTAATTTTAGCATTAATGTAATGTTTCTGAATTATCAGTGTAAAATGGGAGATGTGTAAAGATTCTTTTTTTTTCTTTCTTGACCAAAATCACAACTGCATTTAAAACATATTTCTGTATTTGTAACAGACTTTTGAAGTTTGTAATCAATCTGTAGTTACTGTCAAAAAAAACCAACAAACACAATCTGTTTGTATTCTGTCAACTTTATTTTTCATGTCTTAATTTCTTTTTCCTCTGGAGATTCATGGTATTAAATGCACTGGTTCTGTCTCATCAGCTTTGTGAATTGAGATGTTATCCTCTGCTTCTTTCATTTCAAGGAGGGCTTGAGTTTTAGTAATCTTGTCATCCTGCTGTGGCATCACCATCTTGCACAGAAGAACTTGCACCAGAACAGCGCTCGCTGCTGTAAAGTGGGTATCGGGTAGAGAAGATGTGTAGAGAAGGAGGAAAGAAAATGTAATTTTACAAATAAAAGAGCCAAAGGTATTATCTTTGAGTGATTTTTTTTTTTCATATTAAGTGTTAACTTGTTTTTCAAAGACTAAATCCACTTTTGATGGTAGATTTATTTAAGCTATGGAGTAAATGCTCTAATTTTAGCATTAAAAATGTACATGACATTAAAGCCTCACCTTTTATAGATATACGATTTGTATAGGTGCAAAGATGTTGGAATAACCAGAGTTGGCACTGGTTGTTTTGGTGAAATACCACGATGCCCCGCCCACACTTTTAGCAACATGTATGTTGCAAAAAATGGCCACCAACTTCCCTAGCAAAGATTGGTTCAGGAAAAATTCAGGGTAATTAAGCAGCTAATATTGCCCTAAAACTCCCAGCGTTGTGTGGTGAAATGCAGAACAGTTGAAACGTCGGCTAGTTTTCGCATTAGATACTTCGAAAAATGCTACATTTTTCAGAGTATGCATATTAAGATATCAAACTAAAGAGAGTTTAGTGACTCTCTATCCGAGTCCCGTGACTCTAGAGAGTTAAAAGAAACAGGTTTGACTTATTTTTGCAGTAGTTTGAAAATTTTGCTTTCCTGTTTTAAATAAAAGCCATCCGATCATGTTATTTTTGTAAGTTTAAGTATTTTTTTTTTTACTCATCGCCTGCTCATGTCCACATTCAAAACGGTAATTGTGTTGCAGTTTCCCTCTTTTCCCACTAGGGGTCGGTAAGGATTTGAAAACCTGCAGGTTGCTGCAAATCTCAGTTTAGCGGATAATTTTTTTTTTTTTACAAATAAAATTTGACTTTTTTAAATTAAGCGTGAGATTCCGTTATTATCTGAATATAACACAATCTCGAGGTAAAAGTTACTTTTAGGTGTGTATATGGAAAACTCATTTTTCTGACTGCACCTAAAGGCAGCGTATGAGCTAATCGGTAGCGGAGGGAGTCTGTATCCGCAGCGTGGATATGTCGGACCCGGCTACACAGGCCTTACAGCCCCGGCTTCTCCAAGCCCAGTCGAGTGGCTCAGCGGGGTCCGGTGCTGCAGCAGCAGGCTCCGGTACAGGGAACAGCGACCCGGTTAGACCAGGACTTAGCCAGCAACAGCGTGCGAGCCAGAAGAAAGCCCAAGTCCGAGCTTTTCCACGGGCGAAAAAGCTTGAAAAACTTGGCGTATTCTCCGCGTGCAAGGTAGCTAACATGGCTAGCCAAAGTTTACAACAACAAAGCAATGGTGTGATTGTATTATATGTAATATACCCTATATAATAACGAACTATTAACACAGTTTATCGGCGTAGCTGTACAGCGTTGTAGCTAGCTACTCTGGCAGAGAAATGGGCATTTAAAATAAACGCAAACCTGTGGAAGGATATTTCTCCTCGGCTAGCTTAATTGATATCAATTATTGGCTTGCACAAACGTGAATTGGTGTGCAATTTAAGTCGCCCATGTGGTTTGTTTTGTTTTTATTCTCAGGCCAGTGACACATGCAAGTGCAATGGATGGAAAAACCCGAACCCCCCTTCAGCTACACGGATTGATCTGCAGCAGCAAGCAGCCAGCCTGAGCGAGCCCTGCCGCAGCTGTGGACATGCACTGGGTACAAACTAACCAGACCCCTTCTCCGAATAACATGCAGAGCGCTGTGCATTTAAACACCAGTTACATTTCCGAAATTAGAATTGGTCAACCTGCAATGTGGATTTGGTTATTTTTCCCCCCCCTACCAAGCCATACACAAGAAATGATATTTCTATTTTTGCAGAGATTATCTGTTTAAGTGGGTTCCAGTTAAATCATCCCAATGTATTTCATAGATTAACCTAAATTACTGCTGCAGTTTCATGGACATAGGGGGAACAGGGGGGGAGAGAACAGAACAAACAAAAAACATATTCTTACAGTGTTTTCGGATGATTGTATTTTTTTTATTTTATTTTGCCTTTTATAACCAGAAATGTCTCATATGGATACACATCTTTTATGTGAGTCTGATGCACAAGTTTAGGGTATATATAAATACATTATTTAGATATAAATAGTCTTTGATAAATCTTAAGGATGGGGTTCCACATGGTTATGTTCATGGTACTATTTTACTTGCATTTCATTTGCTTCATTATGTCATTTTCCAGGATTGTTCTCAGATGGTGATTTATTCTTTAAGCCATATTAAAAACTAGTGTCAGATGGACAAGCGGAGATGGATTTTATATTTAAGATAAAAAAAGAATATCTATTTACAAAACCCTTTCATTGATTTTTTTTTTTTCATCCACCTTGAACTTAGCAGATATTCGGTAAGGAGACTGAATACTAATACTGATGTTTTGTCCCACAGCTGATCACGTGTCCCATCTGGAGAACGTGTCTGAGGATGAGATTAACAGGCTGTTGGGGATGGTGGTTGACGTCGAGAACCTTTTCATGTCTGTACACAAAGAAGAGGACACTGATACCAAGCAAGTGTACTTCTACCTTTTCAAGGTAAGCCAGTGCTTCAGTTCAGCTGCAATGATTTTAATTGCTACAGTAGACAGCTTTGTGATCAATGTATTCCCTTGTGTCCCTTAAGCTACTGAGGAAATGCATCCTGCAGATGAGTCAGCCAGTTGTGGAGGGATCCCTGGGAAGTCCACCGTTTGAAAAGCCCAACATCGAGCAGGTAATACAAAGCTTATTATAACAAACAAAGTCTCAAGAACAGTTTTTGTTTTGCTAATTTTGTCCTCCTTTTTGTTGTGCAGGGCGTTTTGAATTTTGTCCAGTACAAGTTCAGCCACCTTGCGCCAAAGGAGAGACAGACCATGTTTGAACTCTCAAAGATGTTTCTCATATGTCTGAATTACTGGAAGCTTGAGACACCGACGCAGTATCGTCAGCGCACGCAGAAAGACGATGCAACAGCATACAAGTTGGACTACACCAGGTGTGTGCAGGAGTTTACAACGAGAAAGCATGTGTGTATTTTCCTGATCTATGCTAGGTTCTGTGCTTAACAGACGTTCTGATCTCCATTGCTGCCAGGTGGTTGTGCTACTGCCACGTCCCGCAAAGTAACGACAGCCTGCCTCGCTACGAGACCACGCAGGTGTTTGGCCGGAACTTACTCAAGTCCATCTTTACCGTTACTCGCCGCCAGCTCCTGGAGAAGTTTAGAGTGGAGAAGGACAAACTGCTGCCAGAAAAACGCACACTTATCCTTACGCACTTTCCCAAGTAAGAGCAGCTTCTCCGATGCCGCCATGTGGCTTCTGTTATAGCTGTGACTGTAGATGCAACAGGGTTGTTGATGAGTTTCGGTATAATTTTACATTTCTAATTTTTCAAAAATCACTGTGTTTATAAATGAGTTTAATCTTGAATATTTACGTTGCAGTCTATATCATCCTTTATAGATAAGTTACTCATTTATGTTTGTTTCCAGGTTCTTGTCGATGCTGGAAGAGGAAATCTACGGGGAAAATTCACCGATATGGGAGGCTGACTTCACCATGCCTGCTTCAGAAAGCACACAGATTGGACATCAGACAGGTGAGGTGGTGCTGGAGTCACTTATTTTATTAAAATGGACATTATAAGAATAAAGCACATTTTAAGAACCCACTAATGGTCCTGTGATGACATGTCCGGGTTTTCTGCTTTCTGCTTTAATGGCCATACCTGTGCATCCTAAAAGTTGCCTCCAATTGTACATTATTTTTTTTCACCTAGCAGGATTGCTTATTTCAAATTCTCTTGAGACCTCTTTAAATTCCTCACCTCATTTCTCAGTATTGTTAAATTAGATTTTGAGTATTCATTGGTTCGAATACATTAGAAAAACAGAAGCTATGTGGAAATGATATAAGGTTTAATATATTTGGTCTAACAGACACAAAGTGCAGAGTTATGCTGCTCTCAAAGTTGTGTGGATTTGTAACTGTGTGGTTTTTTGTTTGCAGTGATCAGTCCTACTTCAGCGTCCGGGTCTCCTGCTTTGTCCAAATGTCTGAACAGCTCCTCTTCTCTGGGCAGCACGGATACGGGAGGCGTAGAGCCCATCACAGGTCAGTGACGGACTCTCCTTTGGTTTACTCTTGGAGCTCAAAGCTCCACTCTGCCTGGCTAAACAGAAAAGAACTGCAGGTAGATGTTTACTCTGCTTGACGCCGATGATTTGACCCGTCTTAAACAGTCTAACACCTTTTCCAAGACAACATGATTTGTCTTTAGAGGTGATTGTTTAAGAAATTAGAAACAGTTGGGCTTGTAGTTATTTGGTTAGTTAAATCCAGGTAGCAACATTATTATTTGGAAAGGCAGTGCGGCACAAAAATGTATTTGATTTCATAAAATATAGCAGTCTGGCCTAAAATATGAAAATATTCTCACAAAAATGAACAATATAAAAAAGCCTAATCGTTGTTTTAACCTGAAAAATGTCGCTTCCTCTTCAGGGGACAAACGCAAACTTCCAGAGGCGTTGACGCTGGAAGACGCTAAGAGGATCCGTGTGATGGGGGACATTCCTATGGAGTTGGTGAATGAAGTCATGATGACGATCACTGATCCTGCTGCTATGCTCGGACCGGAGGTCTGTCCCCATAAACCTGCTCAGCAATTAGTATCGTTTGATTTACAGCAATCTACTAAATATTTCTCCCTTTGTGTTAAATGACTGTAATCCGGCATAGTTTGTATGTATATGAAAAACTGGAAATGCTAACACATAATTAATGGTTCTAGACTAATCTGCTGACACCTAATGCTGCTCGTGACGAGACGGCCAGACTAGAAGAGAGACGGGGCATCATTGAGTTCCACGTTATCGGAAACTCCCTTTCCCAAAAGTCCAACAAGAAGATCCTGATGTGGCTTGTTGGCCTTCAGAACGTATTTTCCCATCAGTTACCTCGCATGCCCAAAGAGTACATCACACGACTCGTGTTTGACCCGTAAGTAAATGTTCTCCTCCTTTATTTTTTGTCATTTTTTTTTCCTAGCAAACCTTCCCTAGCAATCCCTGTTTTCACAGGAAGCACAAAACCTTAGCCCTCATTAAAGATGGCCGCGTCATTGGAGGCATCTGTTTTAGGATGTTCCCCACTCAGGGCTTCACAGAGATAGTGTTCTGTGCCGTCACGTCCAATGAACAAGTCAAGGTAACTATGACCTGGACTAACTTCCACGCTGCTTTTGTTTTTCTGACGCTCTTTAAAGTTTCTGTAGTTTATTTTTTTTATTTATTTATTTTTTTTTTTATCCAGCCTCATTGGAGACTTTTCAAGTAGTAACAATCACGTTGTAACATCTCAATCAGATTTAAATCCAGACTTTAACAAGACCAGTAAAATATATTGATTTTAGGAAAAAGAGAAAACATTTTGGTCTATTCAAAGTTGGAATTGTTACATCAGCTTAGATAAATTAAAACATTTTCAAGATTCAAAGGAATTGGCAAGTTTAGTTTGTAAAAGCGCTACATGAATACAGTGTGGGAAGATCCGCAAGATATTTTGTTTGGCATCTGTTTGTCATACATCTCAGTAAATAATAGCAACGTATCTGTGTTTACTTTTTTTTAAAGGGCTATGGCACCCACCTGATGAACCACCTGAAGGAGTATCACATTAAACACAACATCCTTTATTTCCTCACTTATGCTGATGAGTATGCCATTGGCTACTTCAAAAAGCAGGTACTGGAGGCACAGCAACTCCGTTATCAGTGCTTCTGTTGATTCATGTCTCCTTTTATCTTTAATATTATTATTTTTTTTCTACATAGGGTTTCTCCAAAGATATCAAAGTCCCCAAGGGTCGATACCTGGGCTATATCAAAGACTATGAGGGAGCAACCTTGATGGAGTGCGAGCTAAACCCAAGGATCCCCTACACAGAGCTTTCTCACATTATTAAAAGACAGAAGGAGGTGTGTAAGGATAAGAATCTTTACTGCCAAAAAATACCAGTTTTGAGTGTATCTGTGTTTGTAATATGTTTATTATATCCAATTTTGGTGTGATCATTCTAGATTATAAAGAAGCTGATTGAGAGAAAACAGAGTCAGATCAGAAAGGTTTACCCAGGTCTGACCTGCTTCAAAGAGGGCGTGCGACAGATCCCAGTGGAAAGCATCCCTGGAATAAGTGAGTGTGTACAAGGTGTAAGCTGACATGTACAATTAAATTATTCATCATATGACTAAGATCTGTATTCGTTTCAGGAGAGACAGGCTGGAAACCCAGTAGCAAGGACAAAGGGTAAACACCTTCTATAGGCTGCGTTGATTATTTTACCCAATTTTTGTATCTTTTATTTGCATGTAGATAGTCTTCTGCATCATTTTTAGTTTAAACATTGATCTTCTGCAGGAAAGAGGTGAAGGACCCTGATGTGCTTTACAACATGCTGAAGAACCTTCTGGCACAAATAAAGGTTAGAATCACCTGCCAACAGAAAACAAAAATTACCAAACTGGGACCAATAAAAATGGTTCTACTCTGTCTTGAAAACTATAGAATTTGTATGAATTGTTTTCTGTAACTGGTTCATTGTTGGAAAGAAGAAAATATAGAATATCAAAGGTTTGCTTTTTCTGAGCATATTCCTTAAACCACATGTTCACCAATCCGTAGACTATTATTGATCAGTTTTCAGGAATTAAAAATATCTTAAATTTTCTTTTCTATTCAATAAATGCATTAAGACTAAGAACGACTGATGGATTTCGGTGAAGAAAATCATCAACCACCAGTGTGCACTTTAAAAACATCTTTTACAAAAATCGGGTAAACCCTGCAGACACCTAATTTGATGGATAAATTGGAATAAACTTGTAAATCCCTGATATTATGTTTTTAAAAATACAAAGTACTTGCTGCATAATTTTTCTCCTTTGCTCACACCAAACTGGAAAACCACTTTATGCTTATATCACCGCTTCCATTTAAAGTTTACCATCAGTATTTTGTTTTCTGGGTTGTAAAATAGAAGACCTCAGAGTTTTATACCATGACAACACATTGAACATTTCCACTGTTTGTTTTGTCAAATCCATTGTTGGCCAATTTTAGTATTTTGCAGCAGCCTGAATGTTGAAACCTTTCAACAGTTTCAGAAGCAGTTAAGAAGTTGCAAAGTTTTTGTTTCTTAAAGAAAGCACACAATTTATCATCTAACCAATGAATAATTAATGAGGACAGCTGGTGCATAAAAGCTCCTTTGTGGTAGCATTAGTACATTATCAGTAATGCATTACAGTAACCAGTAGTGTGCCACTCAGACATGCAGTGCCTTAACTTTTTCAGTTTGTTGTGTCCTGTGATGACGCACAAGGAAAGGAAAATAAAGAACCTTTCTTATGCAATTACACTTCATGACTGATTTAATATTGTAGAGGAAGTGTTACATTTTTCCTTAGATACAGAATTTTCTGAGTTTAAAGTTGGAAAGTTGACAGAAAGGTCAAAGGTTTCTGAACCAGCCCTTTACAAATATGCCTGACATACATATGGAGCTTTGTGATTGCCACAATAAAGTTTCAATATAATTTAATTTGACTTTGTCAGATTTGTCACGTTGTTTCATTAAATCTTTTACACATGATGTAATTCTCATAAAGTGAAAATCATTGTGTTTTGAATAATTCATTTTTTGCAATTCATTTTTTGACTGCAGCACAAGCATTTTCAGGGTTTTATATTCACTGGTCCAATATGTTCTTAAAGCCATCGAGAAAATCTGGAATTTGGGGTCTAGAAAAGTGTGGAGTTATGAAGCTAAACATTTTTTGAAGCTCTGTGGCAATTTGAGTTTATTCTATTTTCTTGTCAGACTCATCCTGATGCTTGGCCTTTCATGGAACCAGTGAAGAAATCTGAAGCTCCTGATTACTATGAAGTCATCCGCTTTCCTATTGGTAAGAGAGCATCTACCTCTTTTTAATAGATTAATATCATCCATATGTTTATTCTTATTTTAAATGTCCAAAGCCTGGTATTTCATGAAATATAAACTATATCAAACAAATTTAAAACGGCATGTCCTATTGGTTTATTTAATAAATCCTTCACTATTTCCTTTGATTCTATTTTTATGTAATAAATAGATCTTGAAGTTTTTCTTTTTTTTCAAAGAATATTTTAATCCACTTCTTTTGCTGGACTGGCTTAGAATTAGCAAATGTATAAATCTTGTGTCTTATTATGGAATTCCTGTATTTCCTAAGCACTATTAAGTGTTTTTCTTTACTTTTACATTGAGACCTGAAGACCATGACAGAGAAACTCAAGAACAGATACTATGTAACCAAGAAGCTCTTTATTGCGGATCTTCAGCGAATCATCAGCAATTGTCGCGAGTACAACCCCCCAGACAGCGAGTACTGCAAGTGTGCCAACACGTTGGAGAAGTTCTTCTACTTCAAATTAAAAGACGGAGGCCTGATAGAGAAATGAACTATAGCTTATGTGAAAAAAAAAAAAAAATTGCCAGCTTTCGTCATATCTGGGGTAAGAAAAAAAACGTATGAAAACAATACATTTTGGAAAGGATTTGTGGGACTTAAGAAAAGAAAGGCATCAAAGTCGGCTGAGCATCAACAGTGTCAAACTGACATCTTCTTCAAGTCATCTTGTGGCATTTCCCAGAGCTCAGTGGGAGAATAATGTGAATTATTCATGCCTCATTGAGTGTACCAAAGTTGTACAGGTCCAAGATTTAAAACTGCTTCTGTTGTGTTATTTACTGATTCATATTTATTGTCATTGAATGATGGTTTGGTTGCATAAAACAAGTCACAGGAGCCAGTGTATGTCAGAAAACTGGACTTTGGGACCTAAAGCCATGTTGCCTTCTGTTACTGAAAGACACTTGAACATCCCAGCCAGTTCACAGGTGTGAAGGTTGCCCTTCTCAGAGGGTTTGTTTGGAGAGGTGAAAGTTCGCTCAAAATACTGAGTCCACTTGAAGCAGTCATTAATTAAAAAATGTAAATAGATTTTTGTTTGTTATAACATGGAAAAAAAGTTTTCCTCAAGTACTCGTGGTCCTTTTTTTTATATTATTATTCTAGAGAAATAAGTTTTATCATCATTTAGGGAAACAGCTTTTTAAGGCATTGTTTACTCCAGACAAATGAATCTTCTTCTGAAGTTAAAGGACATGTTTGGCCTCACTTCCAGGCATGGAATTGGTTTCAAATATTTCCTGTGCCAAACTGTTTTTGTGTTTTCTGATCACAAAAACAAACGCTTTTGTGATCAGAACATCACGCACCTTCATGATGTTAAAAGAACCTCTCCAAGCATCATTCCATCATTAGCAAGGTTTTGTACCAGATACTTCACTACAAGTTGTCATTATTAGCTTTAAAAATCCCTGTATTGGTGAATAGTAGGTGATGGCACCGACTAGTTTTTTTTTTGTTTTTTTTTGTAGTCAGTTTTCTCAAACATGTTATATATAAATAGAAATGTGTTTAACATAACACGCAATGTTTTTTTTTTTTGTTGAATTATTGAGATGAAGATGCAAACAAAGTGGGGAGAAGAGATGCAGGAAGACTTGACTTTGGTTTAATTCTCACATCATATTGACTCCACACAACCCAAAGTAGATGTTAATGCGTAGCAGTTTACATTTTTCCATTTTAGAAAATAAACCACTTGTTTTTGCTGTTTATGCATTTGCTATTTACCTATAAAACATTTTTTTTATTATTATTTTTATTGGTCAGTGTCAAAGTGCTTCCTGAGCTGCATCTAGTTTTTCAGGGAAGTAAATGTCAAATGCTGACCGATTCAGCGTATTGAATGTTTCATTGACACTGTATGTGTGTGATAATCTTTTATTTTGTACTTGAATGACTTAAGAGCTTTGTTGAAGTGATGTCAGTGCTGCATTATTCAGGGTTTTCAATAACGCAATTTCACCTTAAATCCACCTATGCTGCATTTCAATCTCTTAAAACAAAAAAAAAAAAGGCTTCAGTTGGAGTTGAATGCCATTTACTGTAAAACTGTTCACGACAATAAATATGTTTTTATGTAAATATTTGATGTTTTCAGGTGATTTCCATCTCTGACTCACTCAGTAATTAACCCTGAAGAAAAGCCTCAACTTGTGTGATTTAACTTGGAGGTCTTCCAAGAGGTTAATCATCTGTGGAAATTCTGGTTCTAAAAAGTATAGACAGTAATTTTTTCTTTCTAGTAGAGTGTGACAATTATTGAATCTGTAAGGCATTTATTATCAATTTTAAGCTGTAGTCCATGCCTCAAGTGGGAGAGATTTTCCTCATATCGCCCAGCCCTTGTGCCAATGGATACTTTGAAAGAAACTACAAAATGATCCAGTGTCATTTGTGTTTTAACAAATGTTTCACCCTTTATACATCAGAAACTGCAACAGCTAACTAAAGAGGTGTGTCTTCTCTGCTGCAAGGCTACAAGTTTCACTTTCCCAACAGCAAAAAGAAAAACAAACACGCACCGCTGTTAAGGGTCTGCATGCAAAGTCTTAGTGTTTGTTGTGGCCATCCAGCTAACATGCCACCCTGGCTAACAGAAACTTGCTGTAAGTTTTGTTTTTCTGGTGTAAGAACAAGAGAGGGGCCCGGTTAGGGTACATCGAAC